TCGAGTTGAACACGCGGATGCGCGAGGTGCCCGGCAAAATGCTTCGCCAGCCGCAGCTGCAATTCGTACGTTTTACCTGGCCTTTACTTCTACTTATACTTTTACGTTTTTGGCGTTTTTGTACGCCTCCCTCAGCAAATACTTTATTTCAGGGTGCTGGTGACGGTACGCCCGACGTGCCGGTGATGATTACCCCGACGGCACGTGGGAGGTGACCGATAGGAGGGATGGATACCGGTGAGTTTCGACCAGACATTTCCTGTCCACCTTGACTCAATTTATCTGTTCCCAGTTTTTGGGTTGTTAAAATAGTTAAGAGTAAAATAAGTATGTCTAAACTTTCAAAGATCTTGACCCTTTTCGCAGGATACCTTCTCATGCCGCTGCGGATGACGGTTTGGATGGTGATCGCGTTTCCCGGGATACCCTCGGCAATCTCAATTTGGCCTCGTTCTGCTGAGTTCATGATGCGCACGGGGGAGCGTCTTCGGGATGGTCGTCTCCGAACGACCCCGTCCGTACATTCAATTGGGATTTCCAGAACGCGGACGAGGTATTCATCCAATTTGCAGCCCATTTTACCCTGTTGTGGTGTCCAGCTGGACCCACGGAGATGCTCGAGTGGGAGATGGCAGAGTTCATCGCCGAAGTCGGAGTCGGGCACCGCTGATCTAGTTGGCGGGAGGGAAAACTCGATAAACTGCCATCGTCTACCCATGTGCGCTCTTCATCTTCCCACGCAAGAGCCCGGATGCATACCGTACGTTTTCTTACGTTCGACATCGCGGCGATAGAAGTTTGAAACGAATCTTCAAAAATTTCCGTGCAATACTTTGTGTCAATCTGATACATTGTTTAAAAGTTTTCGGTCCTCTACAGCTCTACGAACACTTAGAAGTTTTTCAGAAGGCCCAAAATTACAAAAAAAAATGTATATTTTTAATTACAAAGCACGCGGTCTTTCCATCTTCGAATTAAGAATTACAATTTTTCAGGATTGTCAAAAGTCATCACCGAAGTGCGCGCCGGCGTCTACCACCAGGGAATCTTGAAGAAGAACTACGACAGATTGTCGGGCTCGCTCGCCGGATGCACCTCCCGCCCACAATATGTTCTTCAAGATAAACGCCAGCTCGGCGGGACGCATTACCGCGATCCGCGCAACGGCACCTTCAAGCCGTTTGTTTTTGAGTTGAGCATTAAATATCTTTTTTAGGTGGTGCGGTTGTGAATGAGGAGGAGCCGACGTTGGTCGGTGGAATCGATTGTCACACACCCCCGTCTGAAGACCAACAAGAAAGTTCCAGGCAAACCGCCGAGCTGCTCAGGGAGGAAACCGACGTGCCCGGAAGGGTCGCAGAATGGCGAGATGAGGTAGTTTGAAGATTTTTTGACATGTATAGATATTCTTTTAGACCAACGGGGTCCCGTGGCAAATCCCGGTCGCTCCATCGTGGCAAATATTGATATCGATGCCGAAATGCTGGTTTAGATTTTTCTGAGTTCCAGCTAGGCTAGATACTCGCATGAGCTACCGTATCCAAAAGGTCGAGCAGGAGCGACTGGTGAACATGACCGACTGGATCGTGCAAAGCGTACCGCCGATTTTGTCACGGTCCGGAAATGGCTCTCAAAGGCTTAATTTTCCTTTCTTTAGTATACGGGGCAAAAGCCGAAGCATATCGTCATCTACCGCGATGGCGTTTCGGAGACCGAGTTCAAGCACACCTTCAACGAGGAGCAGGTATGCTGATTTTTATATTTATTAAACGGATTCTCTTTGACAAGTGGTAGAGTGATAGGGTTTTGTGATGGCGAATTTGATGAGGTTTGATTTCCGAACAGGGGCCACTTAAAAAAATTCTGAGCGATAACCTATATTGAGGGAGTTACTGAACGTTTTTTGCGTCGGGTCGAGTAACGCAATATACAATTTTCGGTCGGCTGGTCGTGGGCCGAACGGCCGACGGCCTCATTAAAGGCCGGATGAAAAATCGGCCGCTTCCGGGCCGCCGACTTATGCAAAATGACTTCCGGTCGGCTGATCGGCCGGCTGACTTTTGGTCGGCCTGGTTGAGGCCGCGTCGGCCGGCCGACACCACACACTTTTGGGAAAAGTTTCACTGAAACGTGTCGCTGGCGCCTCTAGATTTTGAATAAATAAGGAATGGGTTTGGGTATTACTTTCACTAGTTCCGTAGGATGCCTGTCTACCAAATTTTAAGTAAAAATCTTTATTTGATGTGGGGAAAGCGTGCTTTGTAGGCTAATCCTGAATTTTTTTGGAAGGTTGCCAGGTTCAAATATAACTCAATTTTCGTAGTTTCAAGTTACGCAAAATTTAGTCAGGGCCTGGCAACGGCGACGCGGGCCTTTAGCTTCCTGCAACTTTTTTTTTTTAATTGAATGTTTTACGGCGATGAAGCAATTAGTGATGATAGCGCAAAGCAACAGCCACGTCAAATCCGGTTGTAATCACGTCTAACCCTTCCGTCCGTTCACAATTCTAACCGTTTCAACCCCATTATTTAACCACTTCCTCAGTCTAAACATTTTTGGCCAAGTAAACCCCTTCATTAGCATCCAAAAATCTAATTTGGTTGCGGGTTTTCGGTCGCTTGGGGCCGCGATTTGGCATGCGGTCAGGGCCGATGGCGGTCGGTCGATTTCGGCCGGCCGTATTCTCTAATTTTTCTTCGGCCGAAAAGCCGATCGGCCGGCCGATTTGCCATGTCTGGAGTAATGGGCAAAATGGACTCCTGCAGAACAAATTATCTCCAAGCTGTAGTCGTTTTTGAAGGGGATTGTTTGAAAAATCTGTTTTGTTCAAAATTTCAAGCTTATCGAATGAGCTAAGTCGTGTCGGAACCCCGATCACCCTAAAAACGACTCCTTTTTAGAAAGCATACAATAACGCGCTGGCTCGTCCTGAACATGGAAGGCCCCGACAAGCCGACGCTGACGTACATCGTCACATCTAAGCGCCACCACACCCGCTTCTTCCCGGCCCCAGGCGCGAAGGATTTGCTGCGCAGCGGGTGCGTTGCATCAAGAATCAAGCAATGTTCTATTTTTTAGCAACTTCCGCCCCGGCCTTTTGATCGAGGACGACGTTGTCAGTTCCGAGTATTTCGATTTCTACATTACCGCGCAAAATGGAGCCCTGGTAAGATTTACAAGATTAGCTTAAAATTATTACTTAGGGAACCTCGCGGCCCACCCACTACACGTGCTGCACGACGACTGGAACCCGTCTTCCGGCTTTTGGCAGGTTTGAGTTTGAAGAATCATCAAAATTGTTCACCTAGGGCGATGGTTCTATATTTCCTATCGATATTTTGGATTTTTTGACAAAATTATCACAGCTTTTTACGTTTATAATTAGCGAGGAAAATTTTCAATGCCATTTTCAGAACATCACGTTCGCCCTGTGCCACCTGTACTGCCGGACTAACAAGTCGGTCTCGTTGCCTGCTCCGGTATACTACGCGCATTTGGCTGCCAAGCGGGCCGCCGACTGGGTTGCTGGTTATGAACAGTGCGTTTTTCGCGGTTACCTGCTAACGATTCTCCTTTTTCAGCAACTACTTTGCCGAGGACAAGGCGAAGGAACGGGGCGGCCAGGGCGAAGACGACACGTACACCTGGCTGAAGGAGAAGAACTCGACGCCCAAGGTCAAGGGAATGGTTTTCTGCTGAGGCGTGCAGAGCCCGAGCTGTTGCCAATCGCGTTTCTGAGCCGACATCTTGGCGATGATCTCCGTTTTTTTTAATTACAATCCGCAATCGCTGCCCCCCATATTGCCAACACTTGCCGTTCGCGAAAACCTGTGAATTCGAAGTCGCCCACCTATTTATTCTAACACCAGCGCCCAAAACCCTCTTCGCGGGCCTTGGGCGCTGGAATGCGGCCTTTGCAGGAGGAATTTGACTTTCCGGTAGCTCGGGTCCTTCGACCCCTAACCGACCACACTCGTGAGTGCAACTGGCATGAATGAGGAAATTTCTATTTTTCCACATTATGCAAATTAGCTCTCCAACGCCCCAGAATTTAGAAAAACCGGCCTTAACTTTGTAAACTTTTATTTTATCGCGATTCTGAAAACGCCATCGAAAAGGGGAGGGTCGATTCCCCCGGGTAACGAAGAATTGGGGCGTTTTGGACACGGGAAGGCCCTCAAATCGGGCCTCGAAAGTGGTGGCCGGACACACACACACACACACACACACAGAGATACACGCCAAAATTATATAAGGTAGGATGTTGACATCTTTTTGCCAAGCAATCCACCATGTACAAGGTTCCTTCCCCGAACCCGTTGTCCAATTTTTATGTTGTCAGATTCTATCTGTCTTGTGCCTATATACTTGTTCTCAGTACTCACTGCGCCTTTATGTACAAGTGAATAAACGTTTTTCTGGAACACATTCACAACCAAATGCGGCTTAACTTTCAGGCAGAGTATTATCATTTTCGCGTCGAAAATCGCGGCTCGATCTAATGATCTGTGGATGATGGTTGTTTCCCTGCGCGCCGTCCTTTTTGGATGTGAATAAAGCTTTTTGTTGACATTGGTTCTTTAAATTACCAGGAAAATATTATAGAAATGCAAAACGTTTTCGATCGGAGTATAAATTTTTGGCTTGTACCTTTATTCTTAGAACCCATTTGTTCTGATATCGTAGCGGAACAGTGCGTTTCTATTTTCATTTATCGAAAAAGTACATGGGCAAATTTTATCAAAAAAATTAGAAAATAGAGTTTTTCGCTTAAAACTCGCATTTTGGACATTTTTAGGTGGTCCGAATCGTTTCCCACTTGAAATATAGTTAGGTTTTGTCAATTTCACATTTAGAAAATGCTTAATACTAAAATGTTATGAATAGCTGGTTATGAAAAAATCGCTTCCTGGAAATACCAAAAAATCATTTTTTAGATGTCTAGAATTTGTGGCAATTCTTGAAGCCCCCTGGTTGCCCAACCATTGAAAAGCAAGTGCGAATGGTCTGTGGTCTGGCGAGCAGGCGTTTGTTGCCCAACACTAATATCGTTGCCCAACCCTTTTGACATGGCCGGGGATTAGCAGGGGAGGATAGATTTGTGAGTGAGGGGGATTGTTTGGCATATATCCGCTCACTTTCGGCACCACTTGTCACCCTGCTTGCGCAACCCGGACAGACAGACGAACACTCGACCCCTGGGCGAACAAACCGAGAATACGGGAATGATTTTTTGAAAGTGAAAAGTGGATTTTTGAACGTTCTTAGGCCCTGGAGAAGCGAGTAACTTTCTCACAATACCGAATTTGAAAACACTGAAAAACTAGTATAGGCCTAAGCCGAAGCCTAAGCCTAACTTAAGTCTAAGCATAAGCCTGCCTTTTATTGTGAAAATTTTATATTATATCGACATTTTTCGGAGAAGTATTCCTAGTGCCTTGGCTTAGGTCCACGGCGGCTTGGTGCTTTGTAGTGAGGGGTTGTATCCGGTACATAAAATAGAGGGCCGGAGGGTGGCACATTTGTATCACTACAAAACATTGCTGGGGGCCCGTAAAAGACACTGTATTACAGTCGGGGCCCGTCGGTGACCGTTGGGCTGGGCAGAGAAAAGCTTATAGGCTTGTCCTTAGGCTAAGGATTAGGCTTGGGCTTAGACCTACGTTATGCGTCGCTTCGGCTTTGGCTTGGGCTCAGGCTTAGGCTTAGGCTTCTTAGGCTTAGACGTACGCTTAGGCTCTGGTCTGCTTCTTGGTTAGGCTTAGCGTCGGCTTAGGCTTATTCATCGGCTCGACTTGGCTTGGGCTTAGGCACGGGCTTAGGCTCAGGCATAGGCATAGACATAGGCTTAGGCTTGGGCTCAGGTCATCTTTAGTAAGTAACAAACCTTTCTAGCCCTAACTGCCCCAAAGCCTCAAAACAACACTTCAAACACGGCGCGCTTCTCTCGAGTTTACGGCCCGAAGTTGCCGGAGGGCACAAGTTGGCCCCGGGAGCTGCCTGCCGGGTCGGGGCTTGATACCACCTATCACTTTTATGGCCATCAGCCGCAATATGGCGGCGCTTTTTAATATGCCCCCTGGGCATGTAGCTGTCGTGCCGACAGAGGGAAGCGGGACGAAAACATGTGTTCTGCTGCTATCAATCGGCTACCGCCGAAGCGTGCCGACACCATGGGAGTGGAAGGTCTAAATGGAGCGTGCCAGCAGAGGAAATGGAGTTGTTTCCTAAAAATGTCTTCAAGCATGCCTTTTCTTAAAGAATTTCGGCTAGCATGAGCTTACTAAAAATCTCTGCAAGCTACTCAACCCTCACCATCCCCTCGCTTCGTGTGTGGCCCCGGATCGCGGCGCGATGAAAGCGTGGGTGTGCTTTTTGTCTGCTAGCTCGGCTAGACCCCCGGGTTTGTTCTACGGGTAATTAATTGAGGTGGTGTCGGGGCAGAGAAACAAAAAGAGAGAGTGAAAGAGAGAGAGCGGCCGGCAAAAAGTGGCTTTAGTGAAAAAGCGTGGCGCGAACCGTATCCCCCAGCTTTCGCATGTGCATAGGTGCGAAGGGGGTCTTTGATGTGGGTCTGGCTCAGATTTGTGGCTTTTCAGATCACAGGTGAATGAGGGCGGATCGTTTGGGTATAGTTTCTCAATCTCTCTCTTTCCCTCTCTCTCTCTCTCTCTCTCTCTCTCTCTCTCTGTCTCTCTCTGTCTCTCTTTCTCGTTCTCGCTTCCGCATTCGCTGTCTTCATTTTTCGCTTCTATAGGCACTTGCAGGCGTATCGGTTTTCCTTGTTTCGGCGCCCTACTGGCCTTTGGTTTAGCTTAGGCTTAGGCTTGGGCTTGGACTTCTGCTAAGTATTAGTTAGGCAAGCCAGCAAAGCCCATGAAGAACTACCGGGCCCCTCAGTTTCTAAAAATCGAAATATTTTGCGCACCGGAGCCGGGGGAACACCCGGGCAGCACATAAGATGCTCATAAATTTCAGTGGCGGACTGGAGGAGGAGTCAAATAGTGGGGGACTTTGGCACGAAAAAATTGGATAGAAAGGTGACGAGAGAGAGGTTGAGAAATAGAGAGAACGTGAGAGAGATAGAGGGAGAAAGAAAAAGGCCGTTCTCCCTGCCCTCGCGCCCCGCGCGCCCAATTATACACCCGTTTTTGTGGCTACGGTAACTCGTTCTCTCCTTCGCTCTCGAGCGGGCGGCCGGAGTCGTTCGGGAGGAGTATCATTTCGGAATTTCCACCCCCGGCCCAGGACACTTTGACCACTACGGTAACCGGTTTCGTGCCCCGGCAGTCAGTCCGGGTGAATGAATGACTACTACTGACTCTAGTCATTTTATCCTGCTCGCCTCGCAGACGCGACCCACCACCTAGCCGTCGGTTTCTGCTTTTAAAGGTACGGGAAAGTAATTTGGATGATTCTGCTAATTTATTGTGCGCCTTAGGGCATGTACTTTACCCAGGCTTTGCATTGCTTCGCTTGGCTTCGGCTTAGGCTTCAGCTTTGCTCATTTTTTGCTTAGGCTTGGCTTGGCTTGGCTTTGCTTAGGCTTACAAGGAGTGCTTTTTTTGAGTCATCGGCAAAACCTTACAAGACCTAGCTCATTCGATAGAGAATTCAATTCTGAGCAAGACTCCGTTGTTCTTTTTTGCAGAATGGCTATCCCGGATTTTATAAAATTTTAAGACTGCCCCCAAAAGCCTCTCTTTTTGCTCGAAAGGCACTCATGGTAAGAGACGGTCACTAGTATTTTAATTTTATAAAATCACGGATAGCCATTCTGCAAAAAAGAACAACGGAGTCTTGCTCAGAATTAAATTCTCTATCGAATGAGCTAGGTCTCGTAAGGTTTTGCCGATGACTCAAAAAAAGCACTCCTTGTTAGTCTGTTTCCAATCTTGCGTTGGCGATGCTCTGACAAAAGGCAAGCTAGCAAAGATCCTTCAGGAAAACTATCGCAAATCCATCCCCTCTTCACCCAGTTGTAAATCCACCAGCTTCAGCTGTCAAAAAGCGATTCCCAGGCGGGGTCCAGGTCCCCGTGAGTGCACACGTGTTGTTGTGGGTTGAGTTACGACGTGTTCTTTCTGAATCCTGCCCCAATACCGTACCCCTCACACCCACCACCAATTAGTTTACAGCCCCCTCGCGGCGGCCCATTGGCCGAAGAAGCTGAATTGGGTCTTCGAATGGGTTTGCGGTAGTCTCCGGAGGCTAGGATAGCAGAGATACTTTAGGAAAGGACAGGCTGGCAGAGATTCTTTAGGAAATGGCAGGTTAGCGGAGGGTTTTGAGGTAATCTACGCAATTTTGGGTGACAGCAGAGAGTTTTGCGTAACGGGCAAGCTAGCAGCGATTCTTTATTGGACCTACGATTCGCTGCATTCAAAAATATGTCCCAATTACGCCTGCGCATTCGCCTGCCATGCCATGCCCCGCGGACACATTCCCGAGCCGGCGCCACCCCTTACGACACATAATTCATCCCGTAATTTCCGGACCGCAAAGTCGAGTCGTGAGAATCATCGATTTGTGCCGAAGCGTGGCGCGTAATTCCCATCGGCCCGTTTCAAAATTGTTATCAAGACAGATGACAGATGGATAGAGCGCGGCATTCCTTACCTCATTAGTGTGCGGAATCCGGCCAGAGGCCTCGAGGGCCTTTCGGTATTTTCGATATTTTGAAAATGACAATAGATGGAGCGTGAAAAAATCAATTACGCGACTTAAGTCTAGGTCGAAAAATACGACAGATAAATGTTAGTGCACAAGAACATTCGCTGAAAAAAACGTGCAAAAACTTTCGCCCAGGCAACGCCCGATTTTCGGTATTTACGATTACCTTCAATATTTTGAAAATGAATTTTTTTGAGCTGGTCGAAAAATAGCTTACAGCTTAAATAGCTTCTGAAAACCGACAACCAGATTTAAGGGTATTTTTAAATTTTTACCATTCGGTCATGAAACCGGATGCGGCGGGGATTGTCGAAATTCGAAATGCGAAAATTTCAATATGTCGAAGTTGCAGTATATCGGCATTTTTTGCATGGTATTTTGGGGGTTTTTTGTTGCGTGGGACTTGTTTCTGTAAATGTCGGCATTATTAAGGGTTGACATTATGGAATTTCGGTATGATGAATTTGGCATTAGGAAATTCCGGTATTATGAAATTTACACAGTGTGCATTTTAATCCAATTGTCGAAATTTTGAATGCGACAGGCGCCGGCGATAGATAAAGCACGGGCGCTACATGCGATACATTAATGCGCCGCGCCGTGCAGTTGACCTGAGGTCACATCCGCCAGGTGCACTTCCGCTTATCGATAAGCTGGCCTCCGGATGATAAGCCTCTCCCGGAACACCTGCCCGAAATCAAGATCCACCAATTCAGTCTAGCCGAATTCCCGAAATCCTCCCACAGCCCCCCCTACCGCGTTCAGCTCCATACTATTTTCTACTGTATTCAGCCGATTCATTACTAATATTCCCTACCATTCCTATTAGCTACTAATGGCTAGCCAATCGCCCGATACCCCCGCCAATTCTAATCCTATTCCGGCAAGTTCCGGGTTTTTACACCATACGCAGCAGGTACGGTAATTTTGTGGCCTTTTGTTATGGGGGGTCTTAGCTTTTCCTAAAGAATATCTGCTAGCGTGCTTTTTCTAAGTAGTTCTTGCTAGTATGTCTTTTCCTATAGAATCTCTGCTAGGCTAGATTCCTCAAAAATCAAAAATTCTGGAGCTGGACCTGGGGAGGAGACCGGGCGCGGGAAGGAAAAGACGTGAACACGAGCAGAAACAGCAGAAAAAATACTATTGTCAGATTAGGCTTAGGCGTATGCTTAGGCTAGGCTTAGGCTTAGACTTAGGCTTAGGCTTAGCAATAGCCATAGGCATAGACGAGGCTTGACTTCTGACAATAGGAAACTACTAGAAATTCATTTTCCAAGAAAATTTTGTCCCTTTCCGGCGTTTTTAAAACATTATATCATCCCCAAGGCCTTACAGGACCTTACAGTAAAATTCAAAGATTTTTATCAAAAACTTGCCAACCACCGTACCGCCGGGGAATACGGTAGCCGGAGGGGTGGGTGGGCCCACTCAAGCTAAACCCCGCCCCCACACCCACTCCCAGGCTCTAGCTACACAGCTTTTATGATCCGCCCGACAAATATTTTGGGTCACCAGACAAGGCAGTTGCTCTGACGATCATTTTTGCGTTGCTAAAGGGCCCCTATTAAATTCTCTATATTCCGAAGCAAGCCTCTTTACACCTCCCGGCAGCCAAAACCGCTTCTTTACAGGTTGGAAAACAAAAAGTCCAGGGAAGCTAACAGAGATTCTTGAAACACCGAGTGATCTTCTGAATTCGGAATAGACGCTGTCAGTCTGTCCTAAACTGCTAGCTCTGCTCTGCTCTGCTCTGTTAGCTCGCCATTGCCTAAGGAATCTCTGCTAGCTTGCCCCTCCTCAAGAATCGGTGCTGACCATTTCCTTGAAACCTATGGTAGCCTGTTCCTTAGTATAGCCTCAAATAGCGTTATTTCACCCCTTTAAAACCCACCTGTCCGAAGGAGTACAAAAACGTGTCAGGGATCGATCAATGAAGCCCAGGATAACCTCCAGGTATCGTGAGCTAAAACTTTCTGAGAAAAGAGGCTAGAAACCAAAAAGAAACTGTGGCCAGCCAAAAAAAATGCAGAAATAGTGAAGAATTTTTTTAGATGAACGGCTCCGCGTCGATGCCCTTTTGCTTTCCCTTCGGTCCAACGCCATTCGCACCTCTACCATTTCCGGGGTTGCTGGAGGCGGTCGCGGCGGGACCCGTGCCGGGTTTTGCACGGCTTCAGCCCATGGGAATGCCAGCACATCTGATCCCGATCTATATGCAGACGATTATGCGGAGTGTGAGTTGTTGATTTCACTCTGTTCTCTTACTTTCTCTCTCTCTCTCTCTCTCTCTCTCTCTCGCAATTTTGGTCTCTTGTTTTACATCGCTAGCGCATTCTCATTCGATGCACCTTGCTCGCGCTCTTACTGTCTGTTTCTCTCTCTCTCTCTCTCTCTCTCTCTCTCTCTCTTATCACTCTCCCTCCTTTCAGTTGCTCCCTCACAACCCGCAACTCCAAATGGGCATCCCAGGCATGCTGCAGAAAATTCCGAGCCTCGACGCCATGCAGACCCCAGTGAAAGGTACCGTATTCTCAGCTCTCGCAAGTTAAAGGGGCTGGGAAGTCTAATGTGTCAAAAAATTACAATGGTCCAACCCAATTTAAACCTTTTAAATATTATTAAATTGTATGTTTTCATTTGAACCTTACAGTTAAAAACGAGCCAGTCGCCGCCAACGAGTTGCCAAAGACGCCTCCTGGAGCTGCTCAAGAGGACCGGACCCCGGACGACGTCGTCACCATGTTCCCTCGCATCGTCACAGGCAGCGCGTCCGCTCGAAAAGGTAGGGTAGGGGTTTAGGATACCGCTGGATAGCTGAGATTTTTTGGGGGGAAATCATGGTTTGCGGGAAACCGTTGTTAACTGCCTTTCCGAAAATTTGCGTTGGTATGCGCTTTCCTAAAGGGTCTCTGCTCGCTGCGTTTTCCTAAAAAAAACATCTAAGCTTGCCTTTCCTAAAGAATCTCTGCTAGCCTACCTTCTATAAAAAATCTCGGCTTATCCTACAAGTTGTTCTAGTCTTTATTTGTTTTTGATGTTCCGATTACCCCAAAACAAGATAAGATAGCGCGATAAGATTGGCCTTTTGAACTTCCCAGTCCAATATGCCCTGAGGCCCCAGTTCGGCGTCATGAAACGGGGTTAATCGGCCAACAATTGCAGCTACCCCTAAAGGGGTCTGGACAGCCTTGAAATTAGCCTAAAATCTCTATAATCACCGGATTTTCAGCATCGACCTCTCCGAGCTCGTCGAAAGCCGCCTCGCCACGGCAGAAGAACACCAAGACTGCTGCTTCACCGGTAAGTGACGGGGTCAGCTAGCAGAGAGTCTTTAGGAAATGGAAATGTGAGCTAGCAGAGATTCTTTAGGAAAGGGCAGGCTAGTAGAGGCTCTTTAGGAAAGGGCAGGCTAGCAGAGATGCTTGGGGAAAGGGCAGGCTAGCGGAGTTCATTTAGGAAAGGGCAAAAATAAATCAACCCCTCCCAATTCCAGTCGGCCCACTGCCAATGTCGATTTTGCGGGAAGATCTTCACGCGCCACTGGCTGTTGCAGGGCCACATGCGGACACATAGTAAGTTTACTGTCCCTTGAAAGCTTAACGGACCCAAAAATATCTTTAAAAATGTTATATTTCAGCCGGAGAGAAGCCGTTCCAGTGCGCGCACTGCCCGAAATCGTTCGCCGACAAAAGTAACCTGCGGGCACATGAGCAGACACATTCTGGTGAGCACCTTGGGGATATCTAGCAGAGATCATTTGGGAAGTAGGGCAAACTAGCAGAGACACTTTAGGAAAGGGGCGGCTAGCAAAGATCTTTTGGGAAGCAGGGAACATTTGGGATGTCGGGTAGCACTAGCAGATATCATTTACGAAATGGGGCAGGCTCGCAAGGATTATTTAGGAAGCAGGGTGGCTAGCAGAGGTGATTTAGGAATTCCTAAAGATTTTTTACAACGTTCTTTAGGCCTGAAACCCCATGAATGCACGCGCTGCGGGAAGCGCTTCGCCCTGAAGAGCTACCTGTCGAAGCACGAGGAGTCAGCCTGCCAGAAGATGGCCCGAATTTAAGCAATTTCTCTCCCTCACTCTCTGTCTCTCTCTCATTCTCTCTCTATCTCTCTAGCTCTCTCTCTCTAGCCCAAGAATTCTATTGTCCCTCTGTGAATATCCACTATTTCCCCCTGATGGCTGGTCCATATTTTGCGTACTTGTATGTTTCAGTCAGTTCCATTTCCGTATGCAAATTCACCCATTTTTTCACATTGAATTTAATGTGCCATATTGAGTGCCTTACCTTGCCGGACGCAAATATGCGCAAAGAAAAACACGGTATTTTTTCGACTTGGGTGCTCAGCCATATCAATTTAATAAAGTTTAAAGAATTGATGGAATTGAATACAAATAAAAATCGACTCCTAAAGAATCTCTTCCAGCCTGCCTCTTCCTAAAAAATCGCTGCTGGATTGGCTGCCCTGAAGTAACCGCTGCTAGCCTGCCCTTTCCTTAAGAATCCGGCTTTTCCTAAATGAGCACTGCTAGACTGCCCTTTCCCAAAAAATCAAGGCTAGAGTACTTTTTCCTAAAAAATCATGGCTAGATTTCCCTTTCCTGAAGAATCTGCGCTAGCCTGCCTTTTCCTAGAGAATCTTCGCCAGCATGTCGTTCCTAAGGAATCTCTCCTAGCCTGCATTTCCTAAACCTCTACTCACCCGGTTCCTCATTTTAAAACAGTTTTGACGAAATGAGTCACAAAATTGTCGTCACAACCGTTGATCGTCTTCACGGCTTTGTCATCTCCTTTTCCGCTTCTTTCCAGTCTTTTCTATTTTCCTCAATGGCCCGCCTCCTTCACCAAAAGTCGTCAATATTTGCTCATATTTCAAATAGAGAAAATTGGGGCGCCAGTAGCAGCTGATGGCGCGAGGGCGGCAGAACGATTGCTGCATCTTAGCGAAACTGTCTTGTATTCCAAATTGGCTTTTGCTAACAGATCCTCGATCTTTCCGTATGAATCTCTGCTTTCCCAGAGAATTCCTAAATAATCTTTGCTAGACTTCCCTCTTCCTAAAGAAACACAGCTAGCTCGTCCACTCGTTTTTAGGGAATCCCTGCTAGCCGAGCCTTCCTAAGGATTCTCTGCTAGCCTACGTTTCCTTAAGGTTCTCTGCTATTCTCTCTAAAAAAACTCTCCTGCCCTTTCCTACAGCATTGCTAGCCTACCTTCCCACATGCAATTCTTACCAGTTAGCTCTCTATATAATACGTTTTCAGGTCCAAAATGTTGTCTACAGTATCCTTCGTGGTTACCGTAACCTTCTGCCTAGCTGCCCCAAATCGACGTATTAATGACGGGGACTATTTGGGCTACAGACTCGCCGAAGCCCCAGATTATTTATACGATTCCGGCGAGACTGCCGGCGCCCGAAAGCCCCAAAACCGCGTCCCGGATGTGGATTTCCATGGGTTAAAATTGGTACAACTGTCTTTAGGTTGTCTTCGTATTCCTCGAAGACCCAAAAAACTCTACGAAAAAGCAGAACAAGAACGGGAAACCTGGTGGGTGTATGCTTAGGCTTAAGCGGAGCCTAAACCGAAGCATAAAATCCGACCATTTTATAGAGGGTATGACCTACTCGGACTTTGTGAAAGCTGACATTTGCAAGGAGAACATCGCCCGAACGTGCTTTGATGACGCTGATGCGAATGGTGGGGGGTTTTCGGGAGCTAAGCCTACGTCTAGGTCTAAACCGAACATAAGCCTAAGCCTAAGCCTAACCCAAGCCTAAGCCTAAGCATAAGCCCAGACCCGATTGGCCGATGTCTAATCCAGATGCCTAATAGGATTCCAATTTCAGGCGATGGTATTGTCACGAAGGCCGAGCTGAAGAAGTACCAAAAAGACTCGATGGCACGGGTCGAGAAGATGTTCGATGAGATGTACGCGCACAATTTTGCTGTACGTTTAAAGACCGGGGGTCCGAAGCCTAAGCCTAAGCCTAAGCCGAACCCCAGGAAGCGACCAAAAAACGGCACATCACTCAAAACTGACCTTTTCAGCTTGCCGACATCAATGGAGACGACAAGATCTCCAAGTCAGAAGCGCAAAAATATGCAAGCGATCAGCTAAAGGTATGCCTATGAATGGATTTTGACGCTTTGCCAGATTGTTCCGGACTCGGAATTCGATCGCCTGTTCAACGACATGGACACCAATGGCGACGGCTATCTGGACAAGAACGGTACTTTAATTCTATAGGTCGTAGCTTAGCTTTGAAACTAGGCCTAAGCCTCAGCCTAAGCCCAAGCCCAAGCGCAAGCCTAGTCAAAATATTGCTTCAGAATTCACTAAGCTACTCGATTCCTGGTACCGCAACGACTACAATCTGAAACTGCAGTTTAACGACTACGCCAGCACCACTAATTTTCGTGAAAAACTTTCGAAAATTTCGAAAATAAGCTGGTTTTAGCGACGCTGCGACCCGACCCGGAAATCGAGCAAGTACCCCTTCACCCAACTCGTTAAATCCACAATAAATATTTTAACGCCGGAAAATGACAATTTTATGCCAGGAGACGCCGATGAGGTATAGGCTTAGGCCTAGGCTTAGGCTTAGGCTTAGCCTTAAGCTTAGGCTCAGGCTTAGGCTTAGGCTTAGGCTTAGGCTTAGGCTTAGGCTTAAGCTTAGGCTTAGGCTTAGGCTTAGGCTTAGGCTTAGGCTTAGGCTTAGGCTTAGGCTTAGGCTTAGGCTTAGGCTTAGGCTTAGGCTTAGGCTTAGGCATAGCGTTTTTCAGGTAATATCGGGTAAGTTAATGATCGATTCCGTTCCTCTCCGGCTTGTGTACCCGGCCATGTTTGGGCGTGGCCGTCTATTTGGCCTCTGGGGGTTGGATGTCCGAAATGTATGCATAGGAGTACGGCTTGCGGGTGCGCCCACCCCGGCGTTGCAGCTAACTAGATTTTCCCAAGGAAACTCTGCAAACCTGCTTTTCCTACCGAATCTCTGCTAGCCTCCCTTGCTAGCCACCGCATTCCGAAATGCTACGGAGATGTCCGTTCCTCGGTCGTCCCTCGTTTTGCCCTGATTCAACGATGAAAATGGCATCTGAGGCACATTTGAGCGGGATGATTCAACTTGAGGATGGCGGGGCGGTTTCGCCCTTAGTTAGGAAATATTTGGAAATCGTATTCTCTGTCTCTCTCTCTCTCTCTCTCTAACTCTCTCTCATCATCCGCATGGATACACCCCGGCCATCGTCGGCCCTAACATGGGCCCCATTTTGTTTGATTGGCCATGTTTTGGCGGCTCGGATGCGAGGAGGGGCCGGGATGTTGTTTTCCGGTCGTGACCACAACTACTACACAGCACACCAAATTACACCAGTTTTATATTTTACAGTAAGTTGTGGCTGTGTAGGTGGGAGAGTGAGAGAGAGAGAGAGAGAGAGCGAGAGCAAGCGAGAGAAACCGACGGAAAGCATGTTGGAGAGACATTTGTTTTCTACATTTTCGAGGACGCCGTTCCCCTCCTTCCGACCTTCAGAATATCCCCCTGGGGCCCTCCTCCTTTTGGACCCTTTCTCCCTTTGGACCCATTCCATGGGGGCAACACTAAAGCTAGGGCCCCGGGCCCCCCTAGCTTTTTCGGGCTCTTTTTGTTGGACCCACTAGCCTGGGCGGAGAGAGCACGAAAATCGAGACGCACAGAGCACACATCCTTCTCCTCCTCCTCTTCCCCCGCTCTGACCCACCAATACAGCACATCGATCTCGGGCCCATGTGGGCCCTACCAATTCTTCAAAAGTTTCCGCGCTGAAAGCATTCGAATGCTTCGGTTTAATGGGTTCAGCTTTTTCTAGACGGCTTCGAATTTCGAGATGAAAAGCTAAAAATTTGTCTTTTTTTGGAAGAATTTTTGAAGACACCTTCCTTTCCCCTTCTCTTTATCTCTCTCACTCCCTCCCTGTGCTCTCTCTCTGCTCTCTCTCTCCTTCTCCCCCATCTCACGCGGTTTCACTATTTCTCCAAGGATCCCTGCTAGCCTGCCTTTCGCGGTCACTCGAGGCCTGTCGTGGGTTGTTTTTTGCCTGTCTCTCTTTCACTCTCTCGCTCTCTCTCTCCCGTCTCAAAGAATCTGTGCAATGCCTCAGTTTTTGCCCTTCCCCCTGGTGCTCCTCTGGGTGTTGTGTATGGGGAGCAGCTGTCGCTGTGTAGGCGTCCACTAGGCCCCCTCCTTTCAGCCAGCCCGGCCGTTCTTTCCCGGCGATGATACGGTCCAAAAAGCGTTTTTCTTTCTATTATTTTTCACTCATTTTTTACTCTATATGACTCGCTCGTACTTATGTTCTCTCTCTCTCTCTCTCTCTCTCTCTCTCTCTCTCGCCACCCCCCCCCCTCTCTCTCTCTCTCTCTCTCTCATTGTCCCTATCTTTCTATGCCCGACCCCATACTATTGTTTTTTTCTTGTAAAAATCACCCCGACAGCTTCAAAGCTCTTAGGATATGAAATCTTGGCCCTCCCTAACCTCTCTCTGACCTCACGGTTCCAGAAAAATTCAACCCTCACAACGCTTCAGAGACAGCGGCAGCAAATTCCATTAAATTCTCAGCGCGACTCTGCCTTCCAGGTCCCTTTAAAAACGATAGTCATCATAAAGACCCCCAACCAGATCTAAAGTATCCCTGCTAGATCCCCGGCACGACCGGGGGCAGTGGTGGCGCCCCGAAGGGGATTGTAAAGTCGAAGCCGACGGACGAGAGAGAGATCGAGAGATAGAGAGAGAGAGAGAGAGGGAGAGATAGAGAGTGAGAGAGAGCGGGACAAAGCCAAGGGGAGCCATCTGTGCCCTCCAACAGACAGCAGCAACACACCGACCACCCCGGGGGCCCTCCACACTTTTGCACCAGACATATGGACGGCCGGGGAGGGGACAAATTGACAGAGAGACAAGAAGATAGCCTTCAGTAGATGCGCAGTTATCGATTGAACTTGTTGAAGTTGTTCGCCGGGCTGATTGCCTTAATTATACATTGTAGTGGTGCAGAGGAGTTTGATTTTGATTTTGAATGCCTAAGGGTAAGATTCTTAAGCCTAAGCCGAATCAGCCTAAGTGCCTCGACGGTGATACGGAACTGCTAAAGTAACTCAGCTCACAACATCCATCAACTTGCTCTCTCTCTCTCTCTCTCTCTCTCTCTCTCTCTCTTTCTCTCTCTCTTTCTTTCTCTCCGAAGCCCATCTCTATGACTCACATACAATGAGCCATGAATGACTAAGGGCCCCCGAGGGCTAGTGGCCCAGCCAAGGGCCCTACCAAGGCCTTGGGCTCGGGACCCAATTTAGGGCCGTTTGATGCACGCATTTGGGCCCGGCTACGACTTGGCGGTTGGCCAATTGGGCGTTTTTTATTGGGCGAGTTGATAGCTCGAATTTGCAAGAAACTTTCTAGAAAATCTCTGTTAGCTAGTTTTTTCTGATAAATCTCTTTTGAATCGCGATTTTCTAAAAAATAATCACGCCCGTTTTTTGTTTCCTAATGAATCCTGGCTAGCCTCTTTCTGAAAGATCCTTTGCTAGCCTGTCTTTCCCCAAAAATCTCTACAAGCAATCATAACACCCCTGATGACCTCCCCGTTTGCCTTTTTTGGGCTATTCGCCGACCCCCCCGGCCATACACTGTGTGCCAGCTATTGATCGGATCAGTCAGTGTCTGTCTCTCTGTCCACCCTCTCTATCTCTGCCCTCTCTCCCTCCCTCTCACTCTCTCGCTCCCCTCTACCCGTCTTTATGGCCTGCGGGCTCGGGCGGCCCGCAGGCCATTAGTATTCAACCCCGGACCAGGGCGGCTTTTCGGTCAAAAGCACAGGGGATTATCCCGGTTTTACAGTTTCACTCTGCCGCTCTGGATGTCTCTCTATCTCTCGCTCTCTCTCTCTCTCACTTTCTTCTTTCCCATTTACGATTTCCGGTTTTCCCGTACGCTCCATAGAACAGCTGGCCGGCGCATGCTCGTTTTTTTATTGGCTGATTTCAAATCGTCCCGGTAATTTTTTTTGCTTACGTAAGCCTTGTAGATTATGATTTTTGCCGAATTTTAATTTCCTAAAAAAACTTCCCGCCTCCCTAAACTAAATCTTTACGATTTGAGATTTATTTGGCGTCTTTTCATAGTTCAGAAGTGTTTTTTATTGTTCTTAAATTGGATAAGTTTCCTAATTTTTCGCCGCGGAGGCCGGTTATCAGCTGGGCCCGCTTCGTCATTGTAAAATGTTGAAAGTGGCATGGGAAAACAGAAGTAATAATTTTTGACCGGGTTTTGTTTCACTGTTTCTTTCTGTATGTCTCCCTCTCTCTCTATTTCCCCTCCCCCGCTCTCTCGCTCTGTTTCTTTCTCTCTCTCGCTTTCTCTCTCTCTCTCTCGCTTTCTGTCTCTCTCTCTCTCACTCTCTCTTTGTTTTTTTTCGTTTTTCTCTGGATCGTGATAGTTGTCTCTATTTTTTTTGGGAGGTGATTCTCTCTTTAACTCAGTCTTTCTCGGTCACTCTGATTCTCAACATCTTTATGTTTCTCCTCCCCTAGCTCTTGCTCAATTTTCTGCCACGTTTTTCTTGATTCCGCTATCTCTCTCTCTCTCTCTCTCACCTTTAATAAAGCCAATCATCCAAATTATAAGTGCAAAGTAAAGAGGCATTAAGATAAACAAACAAAATTACTAAAATATGATTTTGCTTCGACAATCCCTTTAAAACCCGAATTTCGGGTCGGCCACTGCCCTCTTTCAATCGGTGATTCATCTTCGGCCCCCTTGCCCCGTCCATTTTTCGATGCCAAATCGACTTTTTTTGGCGGGCCGGGACGCCAGGCCCGTTTTCTTTACGTCTTTTTTTTTGGGAATCGTGTTCCGATTAGTCATTTCGAATTTGTGGCATGATTGCGAGAATTTTCTTGATTTCTTGGATTTTAACACGTTTCGGAAGGTTTTGCTCTCTATCTCTGTCTCTCTCTGTCTCGCTCTCTCGCTATATTTCTCTCTCGCTCCCACTTTATTTCACTAGCCGTTCCAAAATACCTCCACTTCAGCCACCCACCACCACCAGGATGGGCGTGCTGACGCTGAACGTGCTTTGGCGGGCCGCCGACGGGGAGACGACGAAGAAGACGATGCAGTTCGACTCGAAGATGCTCATCTACGACGTCAATCAGATGATCCGCGACAAGCTCGGGCTCAGGGACATCAAGCCGCAGGAGTATGGGCTGCTCCGCGTCGACGATCGCGACGAAACGAAGAGCCTCTGGATGGACTCGGGCAGGTAGGCGGTCTAGCGGAGATCCTGCAGGAAATTCCTTGATTCCCCATTAATACTCGAATTTCCAGACCGCTCGAGTATTACCTTGTACACAATCACGACACCGTGGAATACGGTAAGAAGACACGACTTCTCAAGGTTCGAATGCTTGACGGGGCCATCAAGACGGTCGGCGTCGACGAGAGCCAGCCCGTGCAGCAGTTGATGACCACCATATGCGGCAAGATTGGCATCAGCAACAGCGAGGAGTACAGTCTGGTAGGTTCTCGCCGTCGTTAGGTAGTAGGTAGGTTAGGCTAAGCCTCAGATCTGATGGTTTAGCCATGGCCAAGTCGGATAATGTTTTTTATGGGGTCCGGTTTGTATTTTTGATGTAAACCCAAAATTGTGTAAAATCGGCATTTTGTGAATCGGCATTCTGTAAATCGGCATTTTGTAAAATCGGCATTCTGTGAATCGGCATTATCAGCTTATACCAGTAGCTGGGGCCCAGGGCTATCGATTGGTGGTCTTAAAAAATTTTTGGGACTTTCCGGCTGGGGGGGGGGGGTAAAGTAAACTCTTACCCCAATTTCTCTGAAAATATCAGAAAAATTATGCTTATGATTGGGCATGGCTTAGGCATAAGAAAATTGGGTAATTGACCGCAAACTTGGGTAATTGAACCGGGCGCCGCCGTGCCTTCCCACTCGCCCCAAACCTGGCCCACTGTGTGGACAGATAGTCCAACCCTCTCCACCTCAATTCGTCAGTCGGTTTACCCCGACCTTCTGACAAATGGGTGTCAGGGCTCCCCTTAATGCCTGAAAATGGGTGTAATGGCTCCCCTTAATGCCTAACAAAAGCTTCGGCTTCTGAACTGCTTGAAAAGCTGCGGCTTTGCAGTGAAATACTGGCTTGGCTACGTGTTCTACGTAATCCAAATGCCTAAGCAACCGGTTGGTAAGGCTGCAGCCACAGGCGCGGTACTTACGAAAAAGCCTGGCCCATACACGTGGTGGCCAAAAAAGGCAAATTTCCATCCAATTTTCGCATTGTGCCCCGACCCCCTCCCCCCCCTCCCCTCTCCCCCTCTCCCCCCCCCCTCTCCCCCTCCCCCCTCCCCAAAACCAGCAAAACGGCCCGGCAACCCGTATTTAACGCCCCTTAACGCCCTTTCGCGCCCTCCTGATTTCGCGCCCCCTGTAAATAACGCCCCTGTATTTAACGCCCTTCTGTATTTAACGCCCTCCAAATGACCACGAAAAGGGCGTTATTTACAGGAAAAAGCTCGTTTTGCAGGGCGTTATTTACAGGAGAGCGTTAAATACAGGGGGCGCGAAATACAGGGGGCGTTATTTACAGGAGGGCGTGAAGGGGCGCGAAAGGGCGTTAAATACGGGTTGCCAAACGGCCCTGACACCCAGCCCTTTATTAACATAGCACAGGAAGGGTAGGGTAAGCTAGCAGAGGTCATTTACGGAAACTGCAATCATGACCGGCAGGCCAGCAGTGACACTTTGCGAAAGCTGATCCTTCGGTAATCTGGCAGAGATCATTGAGGAAGGGCAAGAGACAAGTGCTAGCAAACAAAGGTTGACCCTTGGCCACGTGGAACTAGAGTTTCTATGAAAAAAATAAAGCTAATCGGCATTCTGTGAATCGGTATTTTGTAAAATCGGCATTCTGTGAATCGGCATTATCAGCTTATAGCAGGTTTAGGCTTAGGTTTAGGCATAGGTTTGGGCATACGCTTAGGTTTTGGCCTAGACCTAGGTTTAGGTTTAGCTCAATCCAGACTTAGCCCGGCTTATTTTTAGGTTTAGGCTGAGGCTTAGACTTACCCGTAGCCAACCTCACTCATCCTTCCATTTTAGGTTCGCGAGACCGAGAAAGACAGCAAGGCGCGGTCGATGCACAATCTTCGAGACATCCGAGACCGAGCCGCCGAGGAGCAGAAGAAGGAGAAGGGCCTCCTCTCGGGCACACTGGGCCGCAAAAAGGAGCAGAAAATGGAGCAGTTGAGGCAGAAGCTACACACCGACGAGGAGATACCGTGGATTGATCACAATAAGACACTGCGGGAGCAGGGGATCTCCATTGATGAGACTCTGCTTTTAAAGGTAGGTTGATGGGGCAGGCTAGCAGGTATTCTTGAGGTGCCATTAGTTCTCCATCTCACCCTTTCCAGAGGCGTTTCTTCTTCTCCGACACAAATGTCGACAGCCGGGACCCGGTGCAATTGAATCTGCTGTACGTGCAGTGCCGAGATGGAGTACTGTCGGTGGGTCGCAGTTTAGAAAGCGGTCAGCTAGGATTTAGGGTGCACATCCGGTGCAGCGCGAGACTGCCCTCACCCTGGCCGCCCTACAATGCCAGATTCAGTACGGCGACTTCCCGGAGAACAAGCCGAAATTTGTTATTGAGTGAGTACTCCTGGCCTAGGCTTAGGTTGGGCTTAGGCTTAGGCTTAGGCTTAGCTTTAGGCTTAGTTTGGGCTTAAGCTGAGGCTTAGGCTTAGGCTCGGGCGGGGGTTAAGCCTTTATCGGCTTGCCTTAGGGCCGGCGTTGGATGCCCTCAACTTGAAAATGCCTATTTAAAAGTCCAAACTAATATTCGTTCAACCCCTAGTTGGCCCCCAACTTTTCTTAAAGCAGCAGAACACGCGATTGGGGGGAAGGGCTTAAGCCTAGCCTAAGACCTCTAAACATTGGCCAGACGACAGAGAGAGAGAGAGAGAGAGAGAGAGAGAGAGAGAGAGAGCGAGAGAGATAGAGAGCGAAAGCGAGAGAGAAAAACAATTCTTTGCAGTGCTCGTGATCTTCTGCCGAAGGAATATGAGAAGAAGCGCTCCGAATTCGAGAAGGAGATTACGCAGGTGAGGAGTTTAGGAGAGATAGAGTGAGGGAGAGTGAGAAATCTCTCGGTACCAATCAAAATCCTTACAGATGTACAAAGAATTGTCCGGAACCGGCGAGCTCGACGCCAAGAGCCGCTACGTGCAGATGTGCCGCGGCCTGAAGACTTACGGAGTCACCTTCTTCGTTGTCAAGGGTGAGTTTTTTTGAGATTGTTCAGCTTTTTCAATTCTTCGTTAAAAATCTGACCCCAAAAGTTATCCAACCCCGCCCTGAAGCTCCCTCATCCCACTCGCCCATTCTGGCGCTTCCGGTTGGCCGGGTCGGCTCTGAAAAATTGGACTCTATGTGGGGGCTGGATTGAGGTCTCTGCCCCTTCGAAACAATCCATCCAGCCATCCCTTGCATCGCTGCACATTGCCTTTAATTGGTCCGGGTCGGTGGGTGGAGCGCGTAGGGTTGGTAGCGGAGTTTGTTGTAGTTTGTACTGAGCCTAAGCCTAAGCGTAAGTCTATAAGCCTAAGTCTAAGCCTAAGCCTAAGCCTAATCTTAAGCATAAGCGATGTTCTGCCATTCAAGAATCAGTACTGGATCTGACCTTCGTTCCCAAATCCTATCTGCTAAAGACCCCGAATTCGCAAATGATCTCTGCTAACTTCCCGCGCATGCCAAAAGATATTTGCACTCCACCAATTCCAAGGTTATCTTTGCTGGCCTGCGTCACCTGGCTCATTTTTGTTGTTTCTCCCCTTTCCTCCAGAGCTACGGAATCGATTAGGGCCAAAGCCTTTAGGGCCCCTTAGGGCCCGGAGAAGCCGCTTTTCAAAACATCGTTATTGGGCCGTGGGGGCGAAGTCTCGAAAATGAGATTTGCCCCTCCCCGGCAAATTTGCCCCCCCGCCATCATTTCCTCCGCCGCGTCCCCTCGACGTCGGCAAAGCGTTTATCGTATGCACGCGGAAAGGTGCCATTGTTCGCGACGGGGTGTACGGTAGATGAGCTTAAGCGCTTAAGAATCGCCTAGATTTAAGCTTTTAGCAGCCTTTTGAAAGCTAAGCGGATCTTAAGCCAAAACGATAACCGAAAGAATCTCTGCTAGCTTGCCCTAATTTCTAAATGGAAAATTGCTAGCAACCTCTAAACTTTTTAGAAAAGGTCAATGGCAAGAACAAGCTGGTGCCTCGTCTCCTCGGCATCAACAAGGACTCGGTGAGTGTTCGAAGCTTAAACATTTCCACATCGTGTCACATCACTTAAAACATACCCAAAGCGCTTCTGAACTCCTTGAAAACGTCGTCCTTAGATGCAGTACAAATTGTCCGAGATGCCATGCTGGCTTTAAAACGCAGCGATGCGTGAGAACTTGTTGAATACATCATATTTGTTCTCTTCTCCTTCCTTAAACGTTTTCCTTCCAGATCATGCGCGTCGACGAGAAGACGAAGGACATCTTGAAGGAGTGGCCACTGGAGCAGGTTCGACGATGGGGCAACACCGGAAATACATTTTCGCTGGTAAGCTGGAACTGCTTGAGGACGAAGTTTTTCCTGAGGCTTAGTCTTAAGTTAGGCTTCGACTTAGGAAGCTTATTCCACCTCCCGATCCGTAAAACGAATCCCTTTCAGGACTTTGGCGACTACCAAGATGGTTACTACTGGGTGAACACACCGGAAGGAGAGCGAATCGCAGCTCTTTTTGGCTGGGTGAGATTTCAGGGATTTTAATTTTAAAGCGATAGTGACAGCAAAATTAGCTGATTTTTTTCAGCTACATCGACATCATCCTGAAGAAGCGCAGAACGGCTGACCACCGGGGAATCGAGGGAGACGAGGGGTCGACGATGCTGGAAGATATGGTCGCACCGGCCAGGGCTACACTGGTAGGCTAGCAGAGAATTTTTCGGAGAGGGTCGGCTAGCGGGGATAATTTAAGAAACGAGGACCGGCTAGCCCAGACGTCAGTTCCATTTCCAGGTGGCGCACGGTCAGATCGGGGACGGATCACACCAACAGGCCGTCCATGGGAACGTGGCGGTGCCGGGCGTCCTTCGCTCGTCCGCCACCCCAACCGGTTACGGTATCAACGGTGCCCAATATGGTGCCGTCTCGGGCCAGATCATCTCGCAGTCGATGCCCAGGGTAGGTCACGAGTAGTAGCAAAAATTATGTCGGAAGGGGAGGCTTAGCTGGCCTTAGGCATAGACTTAGCTTGGCCTTAGGGATAGGCTTAGGCTCAGACTTAGGCTTAGACTTAAGCTTAGGCTTGGGGTCATGCTTCTGCTTGAGCTCAGGATTAGGCTTGAGATTACGCCTAGGGAAAAGCGCCTTTGATGCAGTATTAAAATACTTACATTTAATCGGTGGTAGCCAGCAAAGTCTTTTTATTAGCCCCCATCCCCCACCCCTAAAGTAACTATACCCAACTCAGCCCAATCTTTTTCCAGGCCCTCGAGGGTGTTGAGCGCCCAAATGAGGGGGCCCATTTTGCCAATTAAAGGGCTCAGCAAGAGCCCACTTGGCCCACCTGGCCCCTTTGGGTCTTTTGGGTCTCCAGTTGGGGCCCTTGGGTCCTTTGGGGGTGTCCGGGGCGACATATTGTTCCCCCTAACAATGGGCAGGGACCCTAGTGACATAGCGCCCCCAAATTGCACTCTTGGGGGGCGGTCGTGATGCTTATTCTCTGTGCTTATTCTATACAGATTTCGGCGACCACTCGGACTGAGGGGGGATGATGAGGTTTAGGGCTATGGGGTTGTGGCACAAAAGCAACGCGTTTAGCGGGAGCTAGCTCTGCGGAATACAGCGATTAAGGCGAATTTGCAGGGTGAACGCGTCCGTGTCGTCGAGAGCCGCGACCGCGCCCAGCGCGCCCTCGTTGGAACCATCGAGGCTTCGATCCGGGCCGTCGATGAAGCCGAGGAGGAGCTACAGAAGGAGCCCGAGATCGAGCTGCCCAAGTTCCCAGAGGATCCGAACTCGAGGAGGTAGGCCTCGCTTTCTCTCTCTCTCTCGCGCTCTCTCTCTCTCTCCCTGTCTCTCTCCCTCAGTAAAATACCTCTTGCAGATGGGTCGAACACCAGCGCGACCTCGGCAAGGAGAACGTCAACGAGAGGCTGGCAGCGATGGGCGCAGCCACAGCTCAGGTTGTCCAATGGACGGCCGTGCAGGAGGAATACGACGAGAGGGTCGGGTCCGCAATCGCGACCATCGGCGGAAATCTACCCGAGATGGGGCGCGACGTGCGCGACTTGGCTGCGTTGATGCCCAACGAGAGGCGCGGGGATTTGATTGGTTGGTTTGGAAGGAATGGTGATAGGCTTAGGCTTAGGCTTAAACTTAGGTTAGGCTTAAGCTTAGGCTTCGGTCAGGCTTAGGCTTAGGCTTAGGCTTAAGCTTGGGCCGAGGCTTGGGCTTAGGTTAAGGCAGAGCCTAGCTAACCAACTCCTTTAAAATGGATACGCTATCTAATGACCACCTTCCAGACGCTGCCCGCCGTCTCTGCGGCGCTTTCGGAGACTTCCTGACCTCGGTCAACCCCGAGCAGGAGGAGAAGCGCACGGTCATCCTGGCCGCCGCCGGACGTGTCGGAGACGCCTCGCACAACGTATGGTTCCCAGATTTAGGTACTGATTTTTGGCTGTAGATGATCAACACCATCGACGAGCCGACATCGCACGAGACGACGTTCCACTCGGAGCTCGTGCAAAAGTCGAAGACTGTCGCCACGTCGACGGCCCAGCTGGTGTTGAGGTGGATGCATTTTCTAAAGCATCACTGCTAGCTTGCCTTTCCAAAGGAATCTTTGCTAGTATGCCTTCTCCTGAAGACTCCCTGCTAGCCTGCGCATTCCCAGAGAATATCTGCTAGCCGGTCCTTTCTGTCACGCTCCCTTTAATTCACCCCGGAAAACTCAACCCAGCGCCGTAAAAATCCATGCTATACTGGCGACGGCCCATCCGAGCATGAATCGCAGCGGGTTGTGGGCCTTTTTGGGCCCTTGCTGGGCCCTTCGATGGCCCCCTCCTCCTCCTCCGAACTCATCCATCAGAGTGCGGGCCATATCTGGGCGTCCCCGGGGACACACGGCCCCCTTGGCCCACCCCAAAAGCCCTCGATCACACTTTTGACCCTCTTTCTTCTCCTTCTTCTACTTCTTCTGCAGCTGCTTCGGCTGCTTCTGCCTGAACCACTCCTCTTTGGCCCTTCCTTAGGGCCCAACTAAGGGCCCGGGGGTTGTCGCTTAGGCTTTCGGGCTCCCTTTAGGGCCCTCCTCATCCTCCCCCGCGCATCCATCTTTTAGGGTTCCCCTGCCTGGGCCGCTTGATAGGTACTGTAGCCCAGAAGAGGCTTCATATGACCGAGATTGGGCTTAGGCTTAGGCTTAGGCTTAGGCTAACAGAGGTCGTCCATGGAAATTGGCCATATCGATGGGCTTAGGCTTAGGCTAAGGCTTAGGCTTAGGCTTAGGCTTAGGCTTAGGCTTAGGCTTAGGCTTAGGCTTAGGCTTAGGCTTAGGCTTAGGCTTAGGCTTAGGCTTAGGCTTAGGCTTAGGCTTAGGCTTAGGCTTAGGCTTAGGCTTAGGCTTAGGCTTAGGCTTAGGCTTAGGCTTAGGCTTAGGCTAACAGAGGTCGTCCATGGAAATTGGCCATATCGATGGGCTTAGGCTTAGGTTTAAGCTTAGGTTTAGGCTTAAGCTTAGGCTTGGGCTTAGAAGTAGTTCTGGGCCTCTGAACGCTATTTACGGACCTTCTCGGTCCCCTTGAAGTTACGGTCGCGGGGACCCTCCGTTTGCCCGCACTTGCTCTGGCATAAATCTTTCACACTCACCGCCTGAACCGTTCATAGGCCGGACGCATAGCGGGCCCCCAGCCGGGGGTCAACCCCTAATTATTCGGGAATTGGGCTGACGGCTGGCCAAGAGGGCCCTTTAAAGGCAACATTTGGCCCCCCTAGCCTAACCGACAGAAAGATGAACAGAAGGCCCGGGATGTCGGGCAGACAGACAGAGGTCACAATCCCCTCGAGAGGCCCCCGGGCCCTAAGCCATTTGTCTCGGCGCCTCCCCCTGCCACACAGCCCACCATGCAAATTTATGCAAATTGCTGGTTGGCACCCCGGAGCGGGGCGCCCAGTTGGACGCCCCGAAAATGTGGGCGGGGTCTCGAGGCGCAGAGTCGCGGGTGGGTGGGCCCTAAGGGCCTTAAGGCCCATTCTCCGGCCCGGACCAACGCCGCCCAGATTCAGCCTGGCCCCAACGGCTCGTTAGTGAGCCGTTTATGGGGCTGGGCCCCCAGTTTGTCCCCTCTTCTTCCCCATCCGAGTAGTACATTTTGGAGGCTGACACGTTGGAAAATTATCTAGCGTTATGTCTCTCTCTCTCTCGCCTTCGCTCGAGCTCTCTCTCCCTTTCTCTCGCTCTTGCTCTATCTCGGACTTTTTGGTCTTGGCTCTGAAAGCAACGCACAAATATTTTCTCACCTGGAAATGTAAGTATCTTTTGATACTCTTTCACTTTCATCTCTCTCTCTCTCTCTCTCTCTCTCTCTCTCTCTCTCTCTCTCTCTCTCTCGCTCGCTCTCGTACCCGCATGCTCAACTACTACTCACGTTTTCCTCCATCCTCACGAGGCATTATCTGGGCCCCGGCGCGCTCTTGGTCGAGTCTGAGGAAATGATTTATCGTGCTCCCCTAGTGGCAGCAAGACATAGCAAGAGAGGGAGAGAGAGAGCAAGCGAGACCGAGAGAGAGAGAGAGAGAGAGCTGCCTAAAAACCACCAGATGAGTATCTCCAGCATCTTCTCCCCTCCAACCTCCGCCTATTTAGGTGCCCTTGCGTTCCGATATCATCCTGTTTTCGCAGCGCTTGACCAAACTATAATAACCCAGTGCGTGCCTTGAATATTTTCTAGGCTTTACAGAAAAGTTCAAGAATCACTGCTAGTTTTCCTGGTTGTAGGCGAAATTTCGTAAGAGGCATAAGTTTCAGCGCAAGCCTAAGCCTAAGCCTTGGCTTAAGCTAAGCCGCTGACAATTCCTAACCCCCAAAAAATTGCCGAAAGGGAACCCCACGGCGCCATTCCTCATCCGTTCTTGACATTAGCTGCCAGCCGGTTCCCATCACCCATCCTCTCTCTCTCTCTCTCTCTCTCTCTCTCTCACACTCTCTCTCGCTGCCCCCCGATGAGTTGTGATGTCTATACGGTGCGCTAATCACCAAAGGGTGGGGGCTGGATGGGACTGTGGCATAGCCACTGATAGAAAGCCGCCGAAAGTGAGAGCGACTCCACCCTTATGGCTTTGAGAGTGACGGTGCTGCTCCCCCTATCCTATACCTACTCGGATTCGTGCTCCGATTTGCCGACGCCCGCTGCGTCGACTTGCTGGGCCTCACTGGGCATTTTTCCTACACTTTTGAGTATTTTTTGTGCTTTTTCGAAGCCTACTTAACTCTAGCTTCGCAGGGACCGTTTTTCCACGTTAATTTGGGCTTTTACGTGACCGTCAAAAGTTTCTGAGCACTACCACGAGCTGAAGCAGTTCAAACGTGGTTAATAGGTTTGATCTCGAAAAAATCTCAACCTAGGACTCCCCTTAAGATTAAGTATAGCTTGCCCTAGTTTTAAACTAAACGTAGAGTGAAGCAAGCTGAACCAGTGGCTTCGACCTCATAGTCTGGACGAAGCTACGACCTCTCGAAACCTCGAGTTCAAGCAGTTCAAGTCTACTAGCTTCCCTAGGCTAGTCTAAGCTCAAAAAGTCCCAAAAATCCCAGTGGGTCCCGTGGCGGCGTTGGCGGAGCAGCCACGAATACCGTAATTCCCTCCTAATGGCACCCCGACACCCATTGCCGCAGTCGCAACTCAGCCGCAGCCACAGTCGAAGCTCAGGCTCGTCGGTTCGCTCGGAGCCATGCCTCACTCGGTTCCACGGGAAGCCCGCCAACGGGGGCCAGCACGATCTGCTGGGCCACCGCAAATTCCCGCCCCTACAGTACTATCTGAAGGCGTTCGAGGCGAACCCGCAGCCGCACTTTCTGCGAAGGGTGCCGAGTGAACCCTATTTTTGGCGGGGGTACGGTGGAAGAATTGGGTTTAGGTTTGGGTTTGGGCCTAGGCTTGGGCTTACATATAAAACTCTTCTATCAATTTTCTAGTTGATGCTCAATGTAGGGCTTTTCTTTTCCGTTTCAATCTATACCTAACATTTTTCAGAGCCAAAACCGTCGCCGCGGAATGCGGGGAGAACGAGCAAGTTCAGGACCGTGTCATCCGGTCGGCCACCCAGTGCGCGTTCGCCACCTCGCAACTGGTTGGTCTTTTTTGGGAGATAGCGAGAGCGAGAGGGAGAGAGAGAGAGAGAGAGAGAGAGAGACATCTCTGACCCTTACCACTCCAGGTATCCTGCTCCCGTGTCGTCGCCCCGACGATCGAAAACAAGGCATGTCAAGAGCAACTCCGCCAAGCCGCCAAGGAAGTATCAACCGCCGTCCAAGACCTCCTCAACGAGTCCGACTACGCCGTGCAAACTGTACAACGTGGTCATCAGGTTGGTCAGCCCCAGGTTGCTCTAATTCGGTTCCTCCAGACGCTCGGCGACCTTCACGAAGCCGCCCGCCAAGTCACCTCAGCCCTCGATGACCTGCTCGACCATGTCAAGACGTCCCCCAAGGGTCAGGAGCAGCATGGCGATGAACAGTGGGAGCATGTGCTCCGCTCTTCCAACCGACTCGTCACCCACCAGGGGCCCACCCAAGATCTGGTGAAGCAGAGCGAGCGTGTTGTGCGCCATTCGCAGCTTTTGGTCGAGGACTTTGAGCGTCAGGCGACGCAACATCCAGAGCACAAAGATCGTCTACTGGATGCTGCCCGAAAGGTCGCGTCCGCAACAAGCAACATGATCGATGCGACGAAGGAGTGCGAGTACCGCCCGAATGCTGTGGAGAGCCAGATGGCTGTTCGGTGAGTGAGGGGCTGGGGAAGAATTGGTTATTCTTGGGCTTAGGTTTTATGATAAGTTTCAATGCCACAATTTGAAAAATTGAACTGTCTAGTTGAAGCTCATCTCCACCAATTTCAGTTCCGCCGCTGAGAACCTGCTGACCGCTACGAACGAGGCGACGGCTGATCAGCAACAGCAGAAGACGATGCAACGACTCGAACAAGCTGCGCGAGACACTGCTTATCACGCCACGCAGACCGTCACTGCCGCCAACCAAGTGAAGGTAGGTGTTCACCAGTTTCTGGTTGCTGTTGATGCACTAGGTCGGAGATGAGCGAGCTGGTGTGGTGCTGGGGTGATGGGGAGGCTAGCAATGTTTCTTTGGGAAAGGATAGACTAGCAGAAATTCTTAGGGAAAGTTAGCAGAAAGCTGACAGAAAAATTTAAGAAATCGATACCCAGCACCATACCATCCCCAACAACCCTCCCAAATAGCACAAGCACAGGCCGTTCACACACTAGTCCGCTTGGCTCCAAATTGCATTCCCCTGCATCTTCCGCGTAGGAATACCGCTCTCTATCCCGAAATTCTGTATCCCGAAACACCCAATCCCGAAATTCTGTATCCCGAAACTCCCAATCCCGAAAACTCTCTATCCCGAAAACTCTCTATCCCGAAAACTCTCTATCCCGAAAACTCTCTATCCCGAAAACTCTCAATCCCGAAAGCTCTCTATCCCGAAAACTCTCTATCCCGAAAACTCTCTATCCCGAAAACTCTCAATCCCGAAAGCTCTCTATCCCGAAAACTCTTTATCCCGAAAACTCTCTATCCCGAAAACTCTCTATCCCGAAACTCAGTATTTTGCGTTTCCTAACGCCCTACATCCTTGAAGGCATCGGAAAATCATTTTATCAAATTTCCGAAACCGAAAAATAGCGGAAAACTATTTACTTCAAAGATTTAGTCTGGTGTTCGGTACGATAAAGCTAGCTAACTTGTTTCGGGATATGGAGTTTCGGGATAGAGAGTTTTCGGGATAAAGAGTTTTCGGGATAGAGAGCTTTCGGGATAGAGAGTTTTCGGGATAGAGAGTTTTCGGGATAGAGAGTTTTCGGATAGAGAGTTTCGGGATAGAGAGTTTCGGGATACAGAATTTCGGATACAGAATTTCGGATACAGAATTTCGGGATAGGGAAATACCCCCCGCGTAGCCGCCAAAATATGTTAGTGCACAGAGGCTCTCGGGTCTCGACCCTTTCCTGCCACAAACCTAAGCGTAAGCCAATACCTAAGCCCATGCTTGGTTAGGAGGCGCCGAAGGAGAAGCGGATACGCACCGAGGTGACCGAGGAGCTGCTGGTAGATGACGACCACCAAGTGCTCGTGGTGCCCATCAAGAAGGCCAATACGTCATACTATCACACCACGGAACAGCACTATAGTCGCTATTAAAGGGGGAATGACAGCAGGGGTTTTTGGGGAAAGAGGTGGTGCCGCTAGGTTTCCATCACTTTTCCGAGGAAGCCTGCTGTTGAAATCTCTTTAAAAGTTGCTACGGTCTTGTCTTGTTAGAGGGATGTAGGGCTTAGGTTTTATCTAAGCATACGCCTAAGCCTACACCCATGCCTCTATTTCCCCTGCGTCCTCATATCACTGCTCGATTCTGCCGCCTTGCCATTGCCACTGTCTCGCTATACAGCACCACTGCCTACCGTACCCCGCCTTTTGACGAAAATTGTGTGTTTTCACGAAATTACGAATACCTACGAACCTATAACGCGCGTCGCTAGGCGTGAGGTGGAATTTGCAGGGATTCTGAAGCTAAAGTAGAAGTTTTTTAGAATGCTGGAAATTTGCCAATCTCTTTCGGCTTCAATGTCCCTTTAATTCCATTTCACGCGTAATAACACGCTCCCGAAATTCCCCGCGACTCCACCATATCACCCATTCACTAGCCCATCACCCCGAAAAATGTTATATCCCCCCCGAAATTGGTGTCCTTTTATGGTCTGCGCCTAGATTTCCCCGATGAATCTGTAAACGTTCGATAAATCGAGAAAATTTTCTGAAGTATCTATTGCACTCAATGTCCCCCAAAAAGGCGCCTCCAGCCACCGTAGTGTAAGTTTCGAGTGTGCCATTTTCGACTTGATTTTTTTGGATGTGCGCTCCTCATTTTCCTTGACCGTCCTCTGTTCTTTGTCCAAAATGGGGGCTGTTGCTGTCTCTCTCGCTCTCACTCTCTCTCTCTCTCTCTCTGTCTCTCTCGATTGCTCTCGCTTTCCGGAAGCCCATGGCTGCAGAAGCCCTTTAAACCGCTAGTTTGTCGAGAGAGCGCGAGGGAGCGGGAGAGAGAGCGAGAGATAGAGAGAGAGAGAGAGAGAGAGAGAGCCAGAGCGAACGAGAAGATCTCAACATTTGCATAAAACATTTCAGGAGACTCTGTGCACTAACGGAAAGCGTTCCTCACCAAGCCCCCACACCCCACAAAAATAAATACAAAAATACGCTCATATCCAAAGCTTTTAATCCTATTTTGAAGAGTGTGCCGTGGCGCATGCAGAAAAGGGATGTAAATCCAAGCTAATCCAGCGATTTTCAGGAGCTCATCAAGAACAAGACGGTCACCGAGACGCTGATCGTCGAGTGCACCGATACGGCTAGTCAGATTCAGCATGTAAGTGGTATTGAAATAAAGAGGCTACGCTTAGGCTTAGGCTTTGGATTAGTCCTTGGCTTAGACTTAGGCTGAGGCTTACGCTTCTAAGCCCAGGGCATAGTAAGCTATGATTTTAGGTGGTCCCCCTCATCCGTGAGAGTCAAGAAGCCCAAACGCCACATCAGAAGTTCCGCGCTCAATCCCGGCTGATTCGCCAGGCGCATCACCTCGTTGAGGTAATTGATATCTATAGCAACAACAAGTTCTACGAGTTAAAAAAATTCTTGGGCATTTTTTGAAGAATAACGTGACTGACCAGTTCAGCAAGTTCAGTAGTTATTCGAGTGTCTTCATAGCTCTGTAAAAAGCGATCGGATGTAAGCCGACGAGGCCAACAAGTTCAGCCAGTCAGGGGCTGACTAGCTTCTCACTAATTTGCAGGTTAGGACAACGAGTTCAAGAGGTTTCAAATTGAAAGCGTCTTTCTGGAACTCTAAGGTTAAGTCCGACAAGCTCAACAAGTTGCGGACGATCTCGCGCACTGCCTAAAGACTCTAAGTTTTATCTAAGTAGCACCTCAAAATTGACAAGTTCAGAATTAGCCTGAGCATCTTCAGAGTCTCTGTAAAACCGCGTAATTCCAGCCAGCCACCCGCCTCACCGACGTCGCCCAACAGGCCGTGGTCCACGTCCCAGAACCCCATCTGGCCAACCACCTCCAAGCCTCTGCCACCCAGCTCCACACACAACTCGCCGAACTGCGCACCGCCATCAACAACGCCCAACAGCTGAACTTTGCGCAGCAGCTGCTCTACTCAGAGGAGCTGATCAAGGAGCTCGACGAGGAGCTGAAGGAGGTGCAACGCCGCGCCCACGCCGATACGCTAGAGGTCCCCAGGAATCTTACGCACGACGGCGCGAATGCGCAGTTGGTGAACGCGTGCCGGGAGCTCGGGTCGAACTTGGCGCAGTTGGTGTCGGCGGCGAGTATGAGGGATAGGCATCATACTGGGAGCAGTGCGGTTGCGGCCGCCCAGTCGTTGAGGGGCTTCACGGACTCAGTACGGGATTCTGTGGCCACGAGGGGGCCCGAATTGCCGGTTGATCAATTTATCGTGTCCGCACGATCTGTAGTTGATCAATCGGGGAGGATCTTCGACAAGGCCAGGGAGGAAGCACCGCCACAGCAGTTGGCTGAGGTCGCCAAGCAGGTCTCGACGAGTCTGAGACAGGTGGGTATACGCGGCAGAGAGAGAGAGAGAGAGAGAGAGAGAGAGAGCGGGCGAAAGAGAGTCATCAGGGCAAAAATAGCGATCCTATATACCATTTTCCAGGTGATCGGCTGCCTACCCGACAAACAACACATCGACCGCGCCGTCCAACAAATTCGCCAAGTCGGAGCCTCGTCTGTCGTCCGCGAGCCGGACGTCCGTGTCGCCGCCTCGCGCCTCGTCGAGTCCGCCTCCTCACTACTCGTTGCTGCCCGCAGACCGTCGCACAACGAGAGCGTGAACGTCTTCGTGCACTCGTACACCGACTTTCACACTGCCGTCATTGCAGCCATTCGGGTAGTTTCAAATACGCAGCCTGAAACGGCACTTTTCAGGAACAACCCCACATGGAACAGCGTGCCCTGACCATTGATCAGCTTGAAAACGCGCGCGAGGGCGCTGTCGATGTGCTCACTCGCGCCGCTGCCGCGTCTTCGAACAGTGACGCGGCCAACACGCAGATGCTCACACAGGCCACAAAGAACCTCACTGAAACGGTAAGTATTGTTTATCGCTCAGCTCAGGCTTAGGCTTACATAGCTTCATTTCCGGATCAACAATGCCACCCGATTTCCAGGTGAACACCCTGGTCGAGTCGGTCTCCAGCGAGCAGCCGTGGCAGCGTGAGTGTGACGCCGCCCTCCGCCAGATCCAGTCGACGATCCCCATCGCCGAGCAGGCCATCCTGCCCCTCAACGACGACTCCTACTTTGCCAGCCTCGAAAAGGTCACCGAACAGGCACGCCGTCTCGGCGAGGCAATGAACAGCCTTGCACGGAGCACGAAGCACGAGGACAAGCAGATGTTCAACCAATCCGTGCGCCAATCCGCAGATGCCGTCTGCTCCCTTGCCGAAGCCGCCGCCCAGTCGGCCTACCTCGTCGGGGTGGCCCACCCGCGCTCCGTTCGCGGCCAGGCCGCCCTCATCGACGGACCCAAGGTGAACAGATCATCAACGCTCGTCAAGCAGGTCTGCGAGCGTATCGCCCAGGAGCGCTACACGCAGCCCGAGATCCTCAACGACGCCACCGTCGTCGCCAAGCACACCTCGCAACTGGCCCAGCTGTGCCGTACAGCCAGCGAGCGCACCGCCAACGTCAACGTCAAGAAGCAGTTCATCAACTGTGCCCGAGAGGTGGCCAGCAAGACGGCCGAGCTGATCCAGAACGTCAAGGAGTTGGACAAGGCCCCCACCGCCCCCACGCAGCAGGCGTGCACAAGGTCTGCGGCCGAACTGCACCAATCTGTCGAGCAGCTCGAGGCGTATGTGCAGAACCCCGAGTTCGTCGCCAAGCCGGCTACGATAAGCCCGGAAGGGCGTGACGCGCAGGTGCCCATCCTCGGCTCGACGCGTTCCACCCTCGAGACCAGCGCTCAAATGATCATCACCGCTAACCAGCTGGCCGCTTCTCCTCGCGATCAGATGATGTGGCAACAATTGGCCGACAACTCTCGTGGCGTCTCCGACTCCATCAAGCGCCTCGTGACGGCCATCCGGGATGCTGCTCCTGGTCAACGGGAGTTGGACACCACCCTCAAACGCCTTGATGAAATGATCCGAGGTGTTGATCGTGCCATGATGGAGGCCCAGGTCAACCCCGGGGCCAAGACCACCGTCGAGAAGCGTGTGCAGCAACAGATCATGCACTATACCCAGAATCTGCACGACAAGGTGGAGCCCCTCAGGCAGGTAGCCATCAACAAGTCCGAGGAGTTGGGCCACCACGCCATGGAACATCTAGCCCTCACCCAACCGCTCGTCGACTCGGCCATCCAGGCAGCCACCGCCACCTCAAACTCCAACGACCAGATCAAGCTGTTCGATCAGTGCCGCACCGTTGTGGAAGCGGAAATGCAGATGATGTACGCGTGCAAGAACTCGGCCGGAAATCCGAAGGCCAAGGAGGCACATCAGAGCCTTGATGAGGCCAGTCAACAATACAGAGAGGCCCTCTCCGACATGAGAAACACCGTGAATGCCATCAGCTCCGAGCAGGGCGTCACGGAGGTATGGTCGAGACCATCTCCCGCTCCATCGTCATCACCGATCACGTCGACTCGAGCTACGCCGCCGGCGGCACGTTCGCCGATGCTCAGACCGGAATGACGCGTCTTCTCGAAGAAATCCGGGCCACCGCTTCTGACATGCCGTACGCTGAGCCGGTCAATTTGGGCGCAATGTCGTTGAACATCAGCGAAAAGTTCCACCAGCTGGCCAAGGAATGTGCGAGGGCCCAGGCCCTCCTCCCCAACATCCCAGACCTCGCCACCAAGCTCAAGGTGTCCGTCCAGAAACTCGGAATGTCCTGTACGGAGGTGGTGATCAAGGCTGGGCAACGCCGAGCCACACCCCGCAGATCAGCGCACCAAGAAAGAACTGCATGAGCACAGCCAAGAGGTTGTCGAGCGAGTTCAGGAAGTTTTGGCGGTGCTGAACATGGAGCGGAAGGGAACCCAAGCTTGTATCAATGCCGCGAATACAGTTTCCGGAATTATTGGCGACTTGGACACGACCATCTTGTTTGCTACGTCCGGAAGCCTGAACGCCACGGACACGCTCAGCTTTGCGCAGCATCGCGATCAAATCCTGAAGACTGCGAAGGCACTCGTCGAGGACACGAAGGCACTTGTCGCAGGCGCCGCATCCAATCAAGAACAACTTGCTGTCGCGGCTCAAAATGCGGTGAGGACCATCGTCTCCCTGTCGGACGCCGTCAAGAACGGGGCCGTTGCGTTGAACAACACCAACTCGGAGACGCAGGTTCTTGCCCTACACGCTGTTCGTGACGTCGCCAGCGCCCTCTGCGCCCTCATCCAGGCGACCAAAAACGCCAACGGGTGCTCGCACGAGGACCCCGCAATGGGAGATCTCAAAGAAGCCGCCAAGACCATGGTCAGCAACGTGACCTCGTTGCTGAAGACCGTCAGGTCGGTGGAGAATGAGAACCAGCAAGGGACCCGAGCTCTCGAAGCGGCCATCGACGCGATTAACCAAGAATTGAAGCAGTACGACAACAGCACGGAGGGCCCGAGCCAGGCCGCACATCCCGATGAGCTGAGGAGGGTTGGGGCCCATGTCCCAGGCGACGACTGCTGGCGACAGCCGCTTCATCCCTCAACCAAGCGGGGATGTCATTGCCGCATCGAACATATGGAGGACGGGCCGTGTCGGGGTTGCTGGTCACAGCGAGGAGCACGGCGATGAATGCCGACTCGCCTGAAGTACGCTACAGGACTATGGACGCTGGAAGGGATGTGGCTGTTCAGGTGAGGAAACGAAGGGATAGACTAGCAGAGATTTTTTGGAAAGGCGGTAGCAGCGATCCTTTAAGAAATCTTTATTCCATAAAAGCACCTTCTTAGGTTCGCGACCTGCTCGGCTGCTTGTACGCCATCGTCGAGAAGAAGGACCCGAACGCCCGGCAGGCGCTGCTCAATCCTGCACGCGGCGTCGCCAAGGCAGTCAAGGACTTGACGGGATGCGCCGAGTTGCTGAAGGTGAGAGAGAGAGACAGATAGAGAGAACGTTAACCCTAAAAAGGAAACTATACCACTTCCAGACGTCCAGCTACTTCTGGGTCGTTGAGGTAATCGAAAAACCTGATAGCTTTTTTTATTCTTTTTCTTGGCCGTTCCCTTAAATCCCTTAAATCAGGCAGAACATTGCAATTCCAGGAATGCAATTGCAATAGCTATTCGATGCCCAAGGTGCCGGAATTTTTTTTGGATTTTTGGCTTTTTGGCTACCTGTACTTGCTGAACTCGTCGATTTTTTAGGCGACACGTGGCAGGCCCTCGGATCCGACGGCCATCGCCGAGAACGAACTGCTCGGCGCCGCCAGCGCCATCGAATCGGCGGCCGTCAAGTTGGCCGAGTTAAGGCCACGCCCACAGCCGGTAGGTCTTTTGAAGGGATAGTGACACCCCCCGTAAGCCCCTCCCACTGATCAAAAGCTGGCCGGAGATAACGTTCGTGGGGGGCCTGGGTTCTTCACATAGGGAACCCGCGAATCCGACCCATCCCCGGCCGGATGTGCAACAGCTCTGGTCATCTTCACTTCCGTGGTCTTTAGACACCTCTAGAATTTCGTCAAGTAGATGCTCAAACATTTCTCCACTTTTCAGAAGGTCGACGACAACCTGACGTTCGACGAGCAGATCCTCGGCGCTGCTGTCGGTGATGAACGCCGTGCAGACGCTGGTCCGGAGCGGCTGGGAATGCATAGCGCGAGCTCGTCGCCCAGGGAAGACTGAACGCGCAGACACCTTCGGGAGGCAAGACTTCCAATGGTCCGGAGGGGTTGATTACCGCCGCCAAGGTCAGTTTGAGAATTAGAGTGGGAGAGAGGAGAGACAAGATTTACAAACTTCTTCAGGCCGTCGTCGCCGCAGTTCACCAATCCTTGCAATCAGCCAACGCTCTCGTC